ATCCCATCCCACCTATAATAGTTACCCGACCTATGTAGTCAATTCTTTCGTTCACGATAACTATCGTTAGATTTACGTCAGCCTATTCAAATTTTGTAATTGTGTCAATTTTGGTCTTATAAAGAACTGTATAGATTTTTGTTTAAATCGCACTTACCGTTTACTTATAAACGGTAATTAACGTAAGTGCCTACTTACGCTGTTTTCCACTAATCTGTATGAAAGTTCCATTCCTCGGTTTCCTTGCTAACCTTTGTTTGCTATCAGCTGATGTTTTATCTCAATTTCTTTTTTCTTTTTTTTTAAATAAATCATTGCTAGGTTAGTTCTAATTTTTTAGCCAGCATTTATTCTACCTCCCCCCAGCTCATTTTTCTAGCTCCATCACCCTCTCCCCTCAACTCATTTTTCTATCGATTTTATCATTTTTTTTATGGCATGTCTTGCTCCCCTACCACCATTTTTTCGGGGTTATAGATATTTTAGCGGCCTCTAGACCCGTGACTCTGCAGTCACGGGCATTTCGCTAGTGGACGGTATGTCTACAGAGCCCGTAACTTTTCTTTCAGTAAGTGACTTTTGGCGGATAGACAAGGCATCACCGCCGCCGGGGGGCGCGTGGGCGACAAAAACCTCGATTCACGCTGCCACTCTCAGCTTCAGCATCATCGGGCCCCGTCGCCGGGCGTCGCGGCTCCAGCTCGACAAGATTCACACGGCGTTTAGGCCCGGCCCGGGCGGGCGCCCCCGCCCCACGATGGCAGCGCCGATCTGACCTCAATCCACCGAGGCGAAAATACGATCGCGATCGCTGTATCCAAGCTGGTGATAAATGATCGTGCCGATACCTCGCTCTATGCACAATGGCACGGACCTCACAGCGCAGAAAAAATAAGCATCGAGGATATAATAATCGAAATAGATTTCGGTATTGTGCGGGTTCGAGTGGGTTTCGCGTCCGTAGGCACGGAGCAGGATCTCGGGGGCCGGGGCACTCCGGTAGGTACGGGTTCGGAGCTGAGCCAAATTGAGACCTCCCTCGAACATCCTGCTGATTATTGAAAGTGAAGGACACGACGAATTTGAAGTTGCCACTGAATGTAGAAAATGAAATTCCCTGACATATTTTGGTGAAATTTCCTGAGAATTGAGGATATGACAGGTGGTTAAGAAGACGTAATTGGAATAGTTTTTAGGAAGCCTGCAGGCTGATTATTGAAGCTGATGGACACAACGAATTCAAAGTTGCTACAGAATTCAGAAAATGAAATTCCCTGACATTTCCCTGATTTCCCTGACACATTTTGGTGAAATTCCCTGACAATTGAAGATACGACAGGTGGTTAAGAAGACATAATTGAAAATAGTTTTTAGGAAGCCTGCAGGCTGATTATTCAAATTGATGGACACAAAGAATTCAAAGTTGCCACAGAATTAAGAAAATTAAAGTCCCCTGCATTCTCCTGATTTCCCTGACATATTTTGGTGAAATTCCCTAGCAATTGAAGATATGAATGGTGGTTGAGAAGACATAATTGAAAATAGTATTTAGGCGAAATGTGTTTTTCGAAACCTCAAACCCATTCTTCCAGATTTTTTCTTCGGGTATGCAGGTCTTCAGACTTCAGGGGAACATTTATTTTACCTTTACCGGACGATCCCTGCAGGACAGAAAGGACAAAGTCCTTGACTTCTTCTATCAGGAACTCACCGACGACGTGCATTAAGAAGAAACAGTTGCAAACATCGATTTCAAAATTGGCGCCACAGCAAAGCTGCACCGTATTTTAAGTTCTCAAGGTAGGGAGTTTCAACACCTGACACATTTCTCCGTAATTAAAATAGCCGAAAAAGTAACGATATACTTTTAGCCGGTAGAGCATTGTCCTTTTTTTCTTCTGGAAGAATCAGAGCAGTTACCGCATCAAATGTTTTGCATTTTGTCACGTACGCTTTCTGCAGCGAGTAGCCTCGAAGCATCAAATCAGTCGAACGTGCAGAAAAGGATAACACTATCGAAATCAATAAGGTAGTTTAACTTGACACCGCGATTGCAGGTAGATAACATTTACCTGAATGATCGAGAAATACTACGAGGTGTCGTTACAGAAGGTTTTCGGTTCCATAATAGACAGGATATTGAGACAAGTTAACAAGAACGTGGATACTTAAGAGATAATACGCGTGTTATGCAGCTATTGAACGTAACTGCAAACGTGAAACCACAATACGTAAAATTAAAAGAACGTGAAATCTGAAACGCACTTCTACACCGTGCTATGTGTACGGACTGATCCTAAAAAGGACAATGTACAAATCGTCGCTCCTCTGACGTAATGTTGTATCTCGATTTCCACATGAGCCCCAGAACCCTGGTAAAAATTGGCAGTAGAATCTGTGTTCCAAAATACCATAGACCTAAAGCCGGCTGTAAGATTTTCAATAGCTTCTATTGCCGGCTGCAAAATTTCTTATAGCCTTTTATAGCCGATGGCGATTGAGCAACAGCCAGGCGATAAAGTGTATGCTAAATGTTACTAATTACGGATGCTAGGACTGTTTTTGGATTACTGCTCTATTTTTGGGCCGTAGTATCTTGATTTATTTTACGCGGAAAGCTCCGTACTTTGGAAGGATGCCTGCCATTCCTAATATGTTGGAGCGCCTTCAATTTCGTATGATACTGTGCAATACCTCTGGTGTGAAATAGTTGCTTCAAGCGCCGCGCCGTGGCACGCTGCGGCGCGGCGGGCGGGCAGCCAGCGCGAAAAGCGCCTCAGCGCCTACAAACCTAACGGGGATACTTCACGCATTGCGCCATGCGTGAAGTATCCCAGTTAGGTTTGTAGGCGCTGGTGCGCGCTTATCGCTGGCAGCACGCCGCTCCGCTCTGTGTTAGGCTCCAATATAATCTCGCGAAGTCAGCGTTTTTTAACTCATGATTTTGAAATGTTTGCACGTCCTGTATGGATTATTCTCATTTTAATTGATGAAAAAAAATATGTATTAAAGGAAAATATAATGTGTGTTTCGTGAATATTATGGTGGTTCCGTATCAAACTTAATGATTTCCAAAGCACACGAATTTATACAATTTCTTATAGCCTTTTATAGCCGATGACGATAAAGTGTAAAGCCCGGCGATAGGAACTATAGCCCGACTGCATACTTTTTTATCGCTTCGTATAGCCCGGCTATATGATTTGCTCCGCTTTATACAGCCCGCTATATGATTTTCTATTGCCTTCTTTTGCCGGCTATAAGAATTTCTATGGTATTTTGAAACGCAGCTCCTATCGCCAATTTTTACCAGGGAAAGCATGTATTTATATGGAAAACAAGACTCACGTGAAAATCTAGATACGCCCTCACGACGCTCACGTCAGAGAGACAACGGAATGACTTGAATCAAAAGGGCTATAAAGAACACTGGAAAAAAACACATTGGATTTAGAGTCCAGACACTTAAAAACAACGACAAGAAAAAGTGCTCTTGATTCAATCAGGATCTAGCTTAAATCAAGAACCAAGCCTCTTAATTTAAGCGGATTTCGTTTTGATTCAAGCAAAAATCCGATTGAATCAAGAGGATTTTTTCTTGTCAAGGTTTTCAAGAGTCTGGATTCTAGATCCAATGTGTTTTTTCCAGGGAAAGCAAATATTATACGTAGTTCTTTCCGATTCATATCATTTGAGAATGGTGCCTTTCTGCACGATTAAGTCAAAATGATGTAATTCAATAAACTTTTCTCCTTCTTCAGGGGTCTTACTTACGGTTGAGATTTACAGTAGTGTTCATTATTAAATAAATATTTCTGAACAAAAGTATTGGTTTGTACCTTACTAATAGTAAGGTGCAAAATTATTTGTAATTACCGATTCTTAAGACACGAAGACGAAAACTGCTGCACACATCGGGAAGAAGTTACTTTAATGCCAAATCAGTTCTCCTTCAAAATTGAGAGTATGCAATGCAAGCTCCCGGGCGGTCGAATAGTGGTATCTTGTGATTGAATTAGGGGTCAAGCGCATTCACCGCTTACCAATGGTAGGTCAGTAACGCCCGTGCTCCTCGTGCGATCTTAATTATACTACAGGTTGGCACCAAAACCAATAATCATAGTTTGAAAATCATATTTATTTTTAAAATTAGTGATTTATAAAGAATGCAATCAGTGCTCATCATGTTCCCGATTATGAAAATATAGGAGGACAATAACTGTGGTAAGTGTATTGAACGTTGGCACCAAAACCATTAGGTAATTGATAGAATGAATGTATAATAACTAAAAGGAATGCACACCAAAAGATAATGATGATTTTCTATGAGCTGCATATCAAGTGGTAATTATAAGCATTGATTTATTTTGGTTTCGGTGTCGTACAGAGACAAGAAAGATCAGGTTTTAAAGTTAATGCAAAAAATGCTTAGTACGCAATACAGGGTGATCAAGGGTTAAACGGCCAGGCCGCAGGAGCGTGTTCTACGGGCTAAAATAAGACTTTTTTGTTGTAAAAAGTTTTTTCCAAAGGCGCCCCCCCGTCGGAGCTATACGCCCCCCTCCCCCTCCAAAAAAAGTTCGGAAAGTAAATAATTTTTCCTGAATTTTGGCAATCATGAGCTGTGAACCAAATCTAATGAAAATTCAGTATCCCTTAAATTTTAATCCCTGAATTCATAAATGATCTAAAAAAAATCTAAATCTCAATTTAAAGCATAATTAAAGAAAAAATCACTTGAACAAGATAGTACTTTATTTTTCTCTCACTAACTCTGCATCCTTTTCCCGATGTAACAACATATACCTATAAATAAAATAAGACGAGCTTCCACAAAATATAAAATTATTAATCAATCATTTAAAGTTCAAATTGGGGGTGTTTCGGCTCGTGCAGCCTGGCCAGTGGCCGTTCAACCCCGGATCACCCTGTATATTACAGAGAATAATAAATTATAGTATATAGTAATACATGTGATTCAGAATAAAAATCAAATTTACCAGGTTTTGACGTCGGAATCTGAGAGAAATCTAACCAGAGCGAGAATATTCCGAAATTTTAACTTATCAGAGCGAACTGACACGAACACGACACTCGAGGCGGGAAATGAGTCGGAATTGGGAAAATTGGACGCGGAAATTTCAAGACACCAAATGCGATCGCGGGAAACTCACAGCATCGAAGTGGCGAGCGACGAATTTAGGGCTCGCGACCGAAAGACACGACAAGCGCGCGACGACTGTCGACCATGCTCGACACGATCTCGATCTCCCACATTTTGCGACAAGACAGCTTCTGAGTTTTCGAGGGCGCCTTCTGACTTGCCGGCGCCCGCTCGAAATATGTGTTGGCAGTACATCCGTCCTAAGGAAGAACGTCGTATGAGCCTTCAGACGTTGCCGTGATTTTTTTTTTTTTTTTTATAAATCTCGAGCTTTCGACCGTTAAAAAACAAAGAGTGAAAGTGGTCGGATGTGCACATCTCCCAAAAGGGAGGGATCGAAGGTATCATCTCATCAAAGGGGGGATGAGGTCAGCAGAGGAGGGTTGCTTGTAGCGGCGAGCAGAAAGGCGGCGAAAAATTGTAGCATACTTGCGTAAGCTAGCCGAGACTTTTCACGTAGAAATCAAATGATGGAACAGGAATATGGAAATTTTATATTTTTGTATACACTTAAACAGGGATTCTAGTTGTTTTTTTTATTTATTTTTTTTTTTTTCATTTTGGGGAAATCCTGATTTTTCCTGATTTTTGACTGCTAAATCCTGATTTCATCATTTTTCCAAAACCTTATCAAATCCTGATTTTTTGGGGAGAAAAATTAGAATTTCTGCATGAGTGTATGCGAAAGCGGTCCGATCGGCCGGCCGACTTTTCTAAAACCCTGATGAAATCGGGGTTAAATCCTGATTGACCTCAAATTCTGATAGAATCGGGAAAATCGGGAAAATCCTGATGCTAGACACCCTGTTAAATGACCGAAATGAAAATATGGCTCTCTCTTGGAAAATTCAGTTTTATTAGTTTATGGTTTTAGCATTGTCTCAAAAATAAACAAATTAAACCTTGCGATGACTTCACTATTTGTTGACTCTATTTTCAATCAACGTCTTGATTGATTCTTGGTACCTACCCGGCATCAACATTTTAAAGAGCACGCGTTCAAAACAAGCTCAAAGTCATGGATTGTGATCTGCGCCCCCTCAACCCTCCAACGCTGAATCGAGACCTTAGTCAAGGTCTGGGCCGAGCATTTCGGAAACTGACGTGCGGGCATTTCGTAAGTGAAGACTTGGTTATTCGACTCCGAAACCGACATCACCCGTCTCGAAACTAGGTGCAACCTACGTCACGTCGACCCGTCATTGTTTATCCTCTCAATTTTGAGATGGAATAAAAATCGCGCTCGTACTTCGCAAGTTTCCAACGCTGCCAAACTGAAGCTCGTGACGAGTTTGACACAAGAGAATCAAGTACTTCGGCACGTTTCGAACCTAATTTTGGGCCGATAGCGATGATATGCCCGGGTCGAGAGGAATCGACTGCGAAGAGCGGGATCCATCGAAATCCTGTTCAATGGGCCTGTTGCAAGGTGCGGGGATTTGCAAATTGATGCCTGATTCTTATGGCAAATTTCACGAAAAGAACGATGGCGCTATTAAAAAACCTTGAAATGACCTCTCAAACTCAAAAAAAAGCTGTTTTTGGAACCGACCCATTCAAAACGGTCGCTTTTCAACCGCCATACTTGTGATTGGTGGATTCTATGCTTGTGACTACTTGTGACGTGAAATGATATGACAGACCTGGTTTCTTCATCACTTACAATGTATTTTCCCGTAAGGAAATGGCAGCCGCTTTTCAAATGCAAATATCGAGTCAATCGCTAATTTTTTGATCAAAATTGAAAGCAGAAATGGATTCCTCGTACGTTTAAATGGTTAAAACCTTCATTAGATAAATAAGAACCGACGGGATAAACCCTATTTTTAAGGAAGACTGTGGTCAATGGGCGATTGTTTACATCTGCTTAGTGATAACAGACATGGACATTAGCTCAATATTTGGTCATTTTCATGAGTTTTTACTTGTTTGTCACTATTTGAAGGTAAGTTTACTTTGTAAATCAATTGTCTAGTGTCTTAGGATCATGTTAAAAGCTGTAAAGGTATACTCTGTTACTTATTTATTCAGAACACACTCCGGCAGTCCAACGCTCAAACCCTGGATGTTCTCTCAATGCGTGTAAATCATTCTTAACTCTTCAACAAACATCTCAATATCATTCTCAGAACGTTCCCACGTTTTATAAACTTATGTTATTTTAAAATCCTGTGTGTTTTAAATGTAACACTATACAGAAAAATTTATCGATAAAGTCTGGTAATCGAAGAAGGATCCTACGTCTACTTTCCTTGCCTCCAGCTAAAACATACCGGTCTCCTCATCTCATCAGTATTGTCAAAGGTAAGTTTTTTTTATCATCAATGATTGATACTATCATTTTGGTGTCTTCAGTGAAGCATTAAAGGGTGAAATAGTAAGATATAACAACTGACTCGCTACATCCAGGTTTGAGCGTTGGACTGCCGGAGTGTGTTCTGAATTAATAAGTAACAAAGTATACCTTTACAGCTTTTAACATGATCCTAAGACACTAGACAATTGATTTACAAAATAAACTTACCTTCAAATAGTGACAAACAAGTAAAAACTCATGAAAATGGCCAAATATTGAGCTAATGTCCATGTCTGTTATCACTAAGCAGATGTAAACAATCGCCCGTTGACTACAGTCTTCCTTAAAAATAGGGTTTATCCCGTCGGTTCTTATTTATCAAATGAAGGTTTTAACTATTTAAACGTACGAGAAATCCATTTCTGCTTTCAATTTTGATCAAAAAATTAGCGATTGACTCGATATTTGCATTTGAAAAGCGGCTGCCATTTCCTTACGGGAAAATACATTGTAAGTGATGAAGAAACCAAGGTCTGTCATATCATTTCACGTCACAAGTATGGCGGACCCGAAACGACCGTTTTGAAAATCCAAATTCTGAGGCGTTTTTAAGTTGATTTTTTGGGGGTTTCCGGTGATCAAAAAACTCCGGGAAAATTCCTGTGACATCAGGAGCCTTAGGTCTTTCGATTAAAGCAATAAAAAAAATTGGTGCAACAGGTCCATTAAACCGGGCACAATGAGCCTGTTGCGAACTGGAGCTAGAACCATTGGCGGATCCAGCAAATTGGCAACGTTGTTTTTCTCCAATCAAACCTATAGAAATGTATAGATTCTTGGAGGGGCCAGGTGCTCCGACAAGAATCGATTATTTAACATAGGTTTAAATGGAGGGAATCCGGTGTTGCCAAATTGCTGGATCCGCCTCTGGCTAGAACGAAAAGGATACTTACTTCCTGAGGAGAATGGCGCAAGAATCACGAAGAGCACATCGGGAAAGTTGGAGACACACTCCTAACTTCACAATCTACGGAAGAAAAATGCGTTTTTTAAGCTTCCCGCTTGACCATGTACCTCCGTTTGCGAGCGCTTGCCTGTCATACTTTATTTTTTTTTGTGGAAAACTATAGTCGACGTAATTTCTTGAAAACTTTCTTGGTTTTTCTTCCCTATTAGCAGGCTGTTCCATAAGTAAGGCGGATTGAGGGGGGCGTAGGGGACGCATGCCTATGCCCCCCTCTCCCCCCGTTCGACCGAAAAAAGGAGGAAGAAAAAGAGACGAAAGAGAGAAGGGAGGACCCGCGGAGGAAAGAAGAAGGAAAGACGCTAACATTTTGTAATTGTTCATGACGGAATTGACTCCAACTATACATAATTATTAAATGGTTCAAAAATGCAATAATTTTCCGGTGGGAGGCCCCCGGACCCCCCTTAGCCCCCCTCTCCCGATTCAAAATGTCTGGATCCGCCTGTGTATAATAAGTTGGCTACTTTCTCCTCGAAAAAAAAATAAACTATGGACGGACATTTTGAAACGCCGCAATGGAGATACGTGGTTTCGCCTAGAGTACCTTTGTAGACAGAGTATGGCCATTTCTGTGCTGGTTTTTCATTGGTCGCGTGAAAATAGGCTGACACGATGTTCTTACGGCCGTAAATAAACAAACAAGATGGCTGTTATCAGCAAGCAAGTTTCAGGTTATGCAAATCTTACATCCTCCTGTGATAAAGGCGAAAGGCGATTCAACAGTGTTTTCATGTGTTTTTTATGTGTTATTCGTAGATATGCTGATTTAAATTGTTACTGCCGTGTAATTGAAATTCTTGTCAAATTTTAGCGATGCTACGGTGAGCCGCCATCTTGTTTGTTTATTTACGGCCGTAAGAGCATCATGAAGCCTAAAAACTCGTTGACCAATCAAAAAGTGGCACAGTTTTCCTGTAGTAAAAAGATACGAATGGCCATACTATGTCTATAAAGGTACTCTAATTTCGCCTTTTGTTCATCAATATGCCAGAATGCTTGAAGTCGCACCTTGTCGATGCGTCCATTCCCCGAGGATTTTCTGGAGAATTTTCCCGATTAAAACCAGCGATTTCCACGTTTTCCCGGTCTTACACACCGTATTCCACCGCCACTTGGATGCGCAATGGACCACTAGACAAGGTACGAATTTCAGCACTCTGATACATGTTTCTTAGCTAAAATTTCACGTAGAATACGACGCGCACAGCGAAAATTACCGAAATCAACTCCTTACGAAGATATTCAATAATTCTTGATGCGTCAATTCGAACCACCCGCTCATGAAAACTCAATGCTCTGCGTGATTCACATCGTGCGCTAAACGTTATCATAACAGTCTCTGCGATATAAAAATCTGGCAACCTCAATCTTGACGCTTTGGCTCAGCTGTAGCGAATTGCTTGTAGTTTGAACAACACATGGTGGGAAATGGACATTACTCGATTGAGAAGCTTGTTGAAACCGTTGTAGTGCGCGATTTGACTCACGTAGAGCTTTGAGTTTCTTGTGAGCGGGCAGTTCAAATTTCTCGCAACCAATGTTAAATAAAAACGTGAATATATTCGTTTGGAATTAGTTTCATTAGTTTTCGTCGGGCGAATCGTGTTCTACGTGAGATTCTGGTTAAAAACATGTATCAGAATGCTTAAATTCGTACCTTGTCTAGTGGTCCATTGCGCACCTCCACAGCAACAGAGGTGCCGGAAGCCAAATTAGTTTGTCGACGTCGAGTCGGTGGCGGCCGCGATTAACCGGTGCTGC